TATATATACAATTTCATCATAAAAAAACAAAAAAACAAAAAAACAAAACCGCAATCAATCCATCTAAAGGAGTCATGCACGACAAGGCGCCTCTGTGCCAAATGCTCAGACTGAAAAGATCTCTGACCTTAGGGTCCCACTACAAAGTGAATTTAGAATTTTAGTCATATACGGTAATGGGCTATTTATAAATCGTGTTTTGGTGCTTTTATATTCTTTATATGGCTCATTAGTGCGTAGTGTCATGGTGTGACACGCATCATTAATTGGAAACCAATTATGAAATCTATTAGACTGTACTGCTTTTTTTTTAGCAAATTTTGTACATAGTGAGACCCTACGGTCAGACAGTCTCTCCAGTCCTAGCTGCGAAAGGGCATCACTATAGCCATGCTATAACTAATAAACTTATCGGCTAAAATGCACCGACATACTCGCGTTTGGATACGCTCAATCGCCATGCTTTGCTGTTTAGTTAAGCCTGGGTGCCACAGAGGCGCAGCATACTCAAGAACAGGCCGTACATAACTCCTGTAGATCGTCAGGAGTTCATCACAATTGAAACCAGCTCTCCTCAACGACCACAAAATAAAAAGTTTACAATTTGCTTTGGCAATGATAGCATCAGTATTACTTGACCATTTGAGGTCGTTATCAAAGACCACCCCCAATACCTTAACAGAATTTACAGGAAGATTTCCATTAGAGATGTGGAGGCTGATGTCTGGAAGTGGTCGACGACCAAAGTAAAATCTAATCACCTGGCATTTGGAAGGGTTGAGCTTAAGTTTTTGGTCCAGTTGTAAAGGTTGTCAAGGACTGCTTGCAAATTACCAGGTTCACCAATTTAGATGTTTCACCAATTGTTTGGTCGTTAACATACTTGTCGTGATTTCTTGCGTATGTGCATTATTGCTAGGACTGCATATACGCCTGGTTCTTAATTAATTTGTTTGAAGGGCCAAAGTAAGTTTATCTCACGGGCCAAATATCTCCACTGAGAGTTGAAAGCAATCGTTGCAGGCCTACATCTGGTGAAATTCTTCCCTCTAAGATAGGTCTATTTGAAAGGTTTTTTTGTTTTGTTTTGTTTTGTTTTGATGTTATTGATGATAAAACCCAATAGACGTATTGCAAAATAACCTAAATTTAGTTGCGTTTACCTCTATGATTTAACAATGGGCTTCTTTTGCCATAGTCTTAAATCTGGCATGCGGGACGCACTCTGCACTCATTAGGCCTACAATTTTAACATGATAACGTTTTTACTTTCTCTGAGCTGCTTTGACAAATTTAGCTGAGCTAATAAGAATACCAATCCGGGGAGTTTTTAATAGTTTAAAGGGTTTTATTTTAGAGTGGGGGTAACCGATACATGTACATCAGTGCTTGTTTGAAGCACATAAGTGAAGAATAGGACCACGGAAGCACCCAGTGATCGATTTTGTTTGCGCTATTTATTCTATTTGTGGCCTATATCATCTTGCTCATTTTCACACAATCCCCGTCCAGATTACTCAGGGGTTGCATTTTTGTCTTTACTTTATTTCAGATGTTTTATCGAATTTTTAATATGTTTTAAATCATTTTTAAAATTATCTGGTTTTTTCCTCACGGGCCAAATTAAATAGACCTTTCCGGAGTGTCAATCAAACTTAACAACTGACTAATCAGAACAGCGCTAGGAATACGCGCGCGTCTTACAAACACACGTGTTGTCCCACAAACGCACGTGTTCGCGTATGTTTTAACACTGCCGTCTTGTGGGACCTTAGCAACAATATCCAAGGGGCGGAGCTTAGCGGAAAGGTCCATTGCCTTGCAAGAACAGAACAACCATCAAACAAAATAAGGTAGGCCTATATAGGAATATATGTTGGTTATGTTTCTTTTTGTTCACGTAAAGCGCATAGAGGCATCTTCCTTGTATTTTGTGCTAAAAACTTACATTATTATTTTACCCTGAACCCACTACTCGTAAACCAATGACAAATACACAAAACGAACTTCTATATCAAAATACATTCTGTTTTTAATGATATAAAAAAGATACAAAAATTGATAAATACGCTTAGACCAGCTAATCAATTTCAGTGGTTATATACAATTAAAACATATACAACAAAGTAAAAATTGAATTGAACATTAAAAAGTTATTTATACAACTGTAAAACTTGAAACAGTTAAAGGAAGCTAATTTCAACTTTTTGAATTGATGTCATGATTTACTTGATAAATTTATAAAGACGTTTTGGTATTACTGTATTAAAACAAGCCCAATGGCTGAAATAAATTACATTTACAAATGGGTTTATTAACAAATATTTAAAAAGTAGGTTGTTATTCTAATTTAAGTAATTAAGGATACAATTTGAATAAGTTATACAAATACCGTAAAACCTCGGACAGAAGCCCAATAGGCTTAATCTCGAGAAGAAGCCCATCGCGAAAAGAAGCCCCACTCTTTAGTTTGCAAAAGTAATCTCGAAAAGAAGCCCTTCTCGAAAAGAAGCCCATGGGCTTCTAATCAAGATAGGATAGGATTCTTTTCGATATAATACTTACATTCAGACTAACGTTCTTTGATGATTATGATAGCGTGTCTGTATCAATATTGTTTTATTAAATTTTTTTTTAAATATTAAACAGAATTTCGAATTGCATAGGCCTGGTTGGAAAAGCCCACTATTTTTTTGCAAAAGTACGGTGATCTCAAAAACAAGCCCATCCAAGGGTCCTAAAAAACAAAAGAAGCCCATGGCTTCTATTCGAGGTTTTACGTATGTTATAGGCCTAGGCTCAGTAGTGGTGTACATTTATGTTTTGAAATAAAACATACAGGACGTTTCATACTGGCGTTCATATTCTAAGCTTTCCGTTTTGCTGATTTTAAAACATTTTAAAATGCATTCCACACTTGACCCCACTCGAGCAGGATATTATATCATGCGTAAAATCTTCAGCGTATTGACGGACGTGTTTTGTATTCAAAAAGGCTAAACTATTATTAGAAATTATTTATTTCACCCAGCAGTAAGAAAGCTACACTTTATATTGACAGTATGGAACGATGCATAATCTATAAAGCATATTCTTTCACTTTGTAAAGTCTATAATGCAGCCCTGTCCAGACTATCAATTTTTAATTAAGAAACATGTGACATGCCTAAATATGGTCATGATGACATCACATCATGACCTTTTATAGGCACGGCATGACTATATATGGGCATATCGGCATACAACAATTTTTTGTCAAAGAACATTTGACAGTCTGGACAGAGCTTTATGGAGTGCAATTGTTTCCAGTCGGTGACTCACGTGATTAAAACCCAGGAACCACCTGAGTTCGGGGGGGGGGGAACAATTTTAACTCATATTATGTCGTCACTTCTTTATTCAATACATTTAATGTAAGCATGGCGTACTATTGTACTTGCCAGGAAATTTAGCCAAGCGACGTTGATGATTGAATAATCAATTAAATGAGTAATAATATTAAATGGCCGCCTGCAGCACGTAGTTTCATTTACATAATTACGCGCACGCGCTGACGTTTATGGACGCTGTTACATGAAAAGACGTAAGGTCTGGTGACCACTCACATAAACCAAAGTAACCAATTCAATCTCGATTAAGTTGTCAGTATAACTTGTATTGCACTGTTCAAATTTCGTTGCAGTTGTGGTTGCTTTGTAGGTGAATGAACTTGGGCTGTTTGCTAATCAGTTTTAATCCATTGCCCCACAAACACTCATCTTCATCAAGCGTGCATCGTTACCGACTCTAATAATAAATAACCAGAGTAAACTGTATTTTTCACCCTTTTCCTCAATTCTGAAATGCTACCGATTACACATGAGATGTATAATTCACATGCCTACTTCACAGTTCCCGTTGCTTGTGACGTCATCAACAGGCTCGGTCGACTCACTTAAATGACGTATTGTTTCGTGTATTTCAGATTCAATTATTGTTTTATCACTGCTTGTAATTTGCTCAGATGAATCGGATAATTTCCTAAAAAAGAGAAAAACCACAAAATTATTCGAAAAACGTGCAAGTAAAGCAATCATTCAAATTTGAGCTACACCTGGACGTCAATAATCTATCTAAAGGAATGGCATATCATTATACTGTACAAACATTTTGTACTACTAACATTGTCAAATATTTATTTCGGTTAAGGGACGAGATTTTTAAAAATTCCATTCTAATTTATTGAAATATAAAGTAAACAGTTTAAATGATATTGTCTTTTTATAACCGGCTACCGGTACTTACTGATATTGTGTTTTGTGGTTATTATCATTGCTATTATACTAGTTGTAGTATTATCACCGTTACCGTTATCAAAGATTGTTTGGAGTATGGTGAAGTAACAATTGTAAACGAAAATGCTTTCAAGATAATGTAGTTCTTGAAAAGAATTGTGGTTTTGTTGAGAGTGTGTCGACGTTTTTCGAGGAGTTATTTTAACCGCCACCAGGAGAACATATCTGATATAATATCTGATAACAACTCAATCGAAACAAGAGTTCTTTTCAGAAATACCTACGTGGTGTACCGGTACCACAAGAATTTGTCAACATCATCATCCATTATTGTTATCATAATTAATTATTTTTATTATCATCATAACCATCAACAACAACAACAGCAACGTTCATCATTAACAAACAAAACTAAAGAATACGAGGTAGAAAATAAACATACTTCAGTTTTATTAGAAACGGTGAATCCGGGTGGATCTTGTCTCCATTACTGTCATTTCTGCGGAGAAAATATTAACTGATGAAGCAAACAGTCTGAAGAATTTTAAAACCACACACCCAGATTACTGTAATGAATCATCAATTTCACTCCCATGTGACGTACAGTGTGTTCCCACTGCCATGGAAACAACCTCACCTACATAAATTATGCAGCAACACGTATTGATTGTCACACAATCAAATCACAACATTCATTTAAAGTTCTTAAGGCATATTCGTATATTTAATTAATTATGATACATCATCGTAATAGACCTATAACCCTATAATATCTATGTCATATCCATATTGACAATAAAGCCGTTTGTATTGTATTTTGTTCGCATTATTGGCAGTGGCGGATCCAGGAATTCGTATTGGTGGGGGACAAGGGAGGGACTTTCAGAGGGCGCCTCTGGATGGTTGGAAATGGCGCTTTTTTATTTTTTTATTTTGGAAAATGTATTGGGGGGGGGGGTGGGGTAGGCTGACCTTGTATCCGCCTTTGAAAGTCGGAAATAGGCCTACATTATATTCTAAAAACACCGTTGAGAGTTTTATTTATTTTATTTTTTTATTTAATTTTTTATTTTTTTATTTTCTTGTTTTTTTGTTTTTGTTTTTTTTTGTTTTTTTATTTGTTTGTTTTTTATTTGTTTGTTTGTTTGTGTGTGTGTGTTTAATTAATTAATTTTTATTTTTATTTTTTTATTTATTTTTTTTTTTTGCCGTCGGGAGCATTCCGCAACTTTGGAAGATTTCGGAAATCATAGCCATGCGATAGAGAAGTCCTAAGCCCTAAAACTCAAACGCAAGGCATTTTTTTTTTGGCAAATGTGTTAGAACCTTACCTTGAATTTTGTGATTCGATTTTAGCAAGCTCGTACGTGGATTTAGAGCCCTCTGTTTCTTCTGCTCCAGGGTACATCCTCCTTCTTGGCTCGTTACCTGTACCTTGCCTGTAAAAAAAAAAACACCCAAAAAATAAAATAAAACTGAATTGAATTGCTCGAATTGACTGTTTGAGTCATAAGCTCTTATCTGAACCATTGATCTATACAATATCACACTTGGTTATGGGCAGGGAGGGTTAGGGAATTGTGTATGCCTTTGAATGATGGGGAGGGAGGGCCTTTCTCCATCCCTTGGATCCGCTACTGGTATCTTGATTATAATAATAGGTTGAGTTTTACTTTCGTTAAGTACATATATCAGTGGATATGGGCTTTAAAAGAACTTTATTATTAAAATTATTTAGACCTATTATTTTAGTAAAACGTATTTCTTTCAGTTTATATATTAATCATTGAACAGTAAGTAATATAACTGAAACAGTTAGGGCCTATTGATAAAATAAAAAAACATACGGTACTTGGCCTGTCTCTTATACACATCTAGATGTGTATAAGAGACAGGGCCTACACATTATATATATTATTGTTTTAACTTAACGGTGTATCGTTAACATTATCTTGCCACATAGCCTACCTGAGTCCGGTTTCGTCCGTCTGAACAGAAGACTGGAAGCAAGGACAGAACCACACACACAGGAAGAGCATCAAGAATACAAAGGCGGCTGCAAGCGATATCAGACTGCCGTATAGAAACCATTCACGATCTACTCCAGACGATTCTACAACAAAATAAAGGACTTCCGTTCACAATAACTGTTAATTACGTCACAAGAAATTTAATTGGCTTAATAAATTATGACCTTCATAATATTATTTAAAAGAATAATAATTCAGAGTGAAAAATATAAATGTGATAAATAAATTACGATAATTGTACAAAATCAGGCATAAGGGCAATATTTTTAAGATGGATACGTTAATAAATCGAAATTAAACTAGTAATTATAAAATGAATTAACTACAATTAGTTTACATTATTATAACATACGAAAAAGAAAAAAATGTTAATATCATTATATGTATTTTTATCGTCGTTATTATTGTAATAGGCTAGTAGCATTTTATTAACATGATCATTGTTGTCGTCATTGGCATTGCCATCATCATCATCGTCATCATCATCCTCATCATCGTCATCATCACCATCATCATCATCATCATCATCGTCGTCATTTGTTTTTCATTTTCTATGTTTAGCCACTTATAAAAAATAAGAGACTTCCAATCTTAAAACTCTATCAGACACCAGGATTATTTTCATCTCCACTCCATATGCCTTAAAAGCCTCATAAATATAAATTACTCTATCAGATTTATAAGAATCGTTTGGCGAGTGTTTACTTGCTGTTCATGTAAAAAAAACATGAAAAAAATGGGCTTACCTGTACCTACAATGGACGTCACGTCTTGCGCACCAGCTCTCTATAAATAAAAATGAATACAGTACGGTAATAAATGGGCTTACAAAAGACAATCGCAATTCAACCCCCAAAGATGGCAAGAATTCAATAACTTTAATCCAATTCAAATTCAGACATCAAACAAAATAGTAAAATCAAATAACACTGTAACATGGTAACATTGAAAAACAAAGATGATGAATTGAAATGGGGACACAAACAAGTAAAGCCCCGCGCGCTCATACAAAAATGACAAAAATCGACTTAAACTTTACTACAGGTAAAACTACACCCATGCCGGTATTTCTACAATAAGGCTTCGGGGTTAAAATTTAAAATATGGAAGCCGCTGGTTATCAACTTGATCGAAATATAGTTTTCATTTTTCAATTACAAATAGGCCTATTTTATAAACCTACCAACATTATACAACGACTCTTTACTATTTTATGACAGAAATGTAAAACTAGGCCTACACATTGACTATTAATGATATTATATAATATATATACCCCTCCCTATCTTAACTTGTGATTTTTCTCTGTCTTCTGTTTGTCCTTCTGTCTCTTGTTCTCGTCCTGTAACCTGTCTATGTTCTGTCTTTATTTCCCTTGCTTGCCCTATTTTGAAGGCAAGACCTGCTCCTTTCTTTGCCTTTTTTGTGTTATAGGCCTATATATTTTATTATTGAGACTATTTTAATACTGATTTAATTTTAACGTTTTGGCAAATAAAGTGATTTTACTACTGAGGAGGTACACAATATCTTTGTTCCGCATTATTTAAACGTGGTTGAATTTTAAAGAAAGTTGGTTGTTTTCCACGGTTATGTTTTCAGGTGAAAATTAATAATTTATTTGGAATGGAACGCACAGAGCTATAGGACGCAATTCAATACAAAGGAACCGATTATTAGATTTATTGGTACAGTAACAGTAGTATATTTTGTAATGAACAAGTCGATTTTTTTAACACTGGTTCAGAAATCTTATTTCACACTGTGAGACAATAATGAAGCCTATTATATTTCCATCGGTACGATAGACCTCCCAGTCAGAACTTTCACCTGGGATAAAAAAACAACCGCTAAACCACCCATCCTGAACGCTAAAAACTAAACATTAAAATACGAGAGAAATTATATATGCCAATGGCATTTTTCGTCAGGATAAATGATAAATACAAACGATGTTTTTGGACAAACATCGTTCGTAAAATTATATTATTTATATAGGCCTATACTTGTATTGTTAACTATATAAAGGATGAACAAATAAATCAAAAAAGAAAAAAAATATTCTCGTATCTATTTTCGTTAAGTGTTTGAGAACACCATCCCGTTTAATATATAATTTAGATTTAAAAAAAAAATCATCTGGTTCCGAGATAAATAACTAAACAACAAAACTGTTTTACAGGCCACTCACAAGGAAAGCTTCCTTTGTTCCTATAGTTTGACTTCAAGAATGAACCGATGGACCTTAGACGGAGGGTGGTGGTTAGCTATGATTACAAAAAAAAAAAAAAAAATGGCAGCTGAGAGGCTACTCCAAAATACAAAAAAAAATTCAATGTGAAGTCCTACCTTCGGAATAGATAGCAGGAAGCCAAACGCTACTGGCAAAACCATTCGATATATGCCTTTCATGGAAGGAACTGCATATTGGTCCATGACTATGAGATTTAGAAATCTTCGGAGAAATTCTGTTTTCTGTTTCACCGGTGTCCTTCCTCTCTTCATAGACAATGAAATGTTTACTGTATTATATTCATGTTGTTTCTGAAGTAGGCGGAAAGATACACGATATGGTACTGTGACGAAACCGATTATATTACCTCATAAAGGGCCGCCGACGGAGACGTCAATAAACCATTTGAAACACAGTAGCCTCATGCACCGGTTGTCCTATGACGTTTCAACCGAAATAATGAATCTATAAATAGAAACAAAAAAAATGTGAGCTATTCAATTTTATTTACACTAAAATGAAACCTCTTTATATAGAGTATAAGGGTAAATCTTCTGTAAACTTGGTAAACTGGAACGCACCCGACAAATTATACATCGCTATCAAGATTCAAACTTAGGTTTGGAAAAAAGTTGAAAACCATTAATCATGAAGATATGACTCAAGGCCAACCGCACTTCGAGGCAGCCTGTATTTCACACGTAACACACCCATTAATTATATAAAACATCCGCATAATGTAGCCTAACGTGTACACGTAGTCATGTAACGTAGTCGAGTTGTATTAACCGTTAGCATGAAATGGAAATCCTCCGGGGCAATCCTGTACACGATTACAAAAGCAAATACATTTTTCAAAGCTATATCTTTATACAATAAATCATAACCTTAATAATAATAATAATAATATGAATTATTATGAAACATACGGTACTTGGCTAATATGTGTATATTGGGCCGCCTCCAAATATACTAGATCCCCGGTTGTGCACTCACGAGTCAGCAAACTTTAATGTCCATATCATGACCAGGCCTATGTACATTTTTTAAAAGCGTATATAGTCTTACAGCAACGGTACGATTTGAAATAAAACTACATTTAGGCCAACATAAAATAACTCGGCGCGTAACACGGTAGCCTCTGCTGTACGTAAAACCATGACAAAAGTGACTCGATGAGGGCTGAGGCAAGCTGATGATGTATACGTCGTCAGTGCCTTTTGTTTGCATACTTGGTCGAGTCTTTGTTGTACGACACTAGCCCGTGATATGACATTCTAAATCAATTGAAATCGAACAATAAAGATTCCGTATCAAATTCTAGGACTATACATAGGCCTACGCTATTGTTAGCACTGTCTGCCGTGGATGCATTAACATTCCAACGAGGGTCACTCCATAATGTATGTAGGCCTGACAGTAGGCCTATATACATTACCTTGTTTATTAATCCACCAATACCCGACCTAGAGTGCGTACAATCTTTCTAGGTCCATTAAAATAACAATCAGACGATTTTTTTTTATTGTGTATACCTAAAAGTAGATTTCCATTGTTATTTTCAAAACACAATCACAGATATCAGCATTAAACATTTGTACATTGTTAAAATTGGAAGCGTGTAAACCTATTAGGCCAACATTTTTACACACTCAAAATGCACAATTTCTACAGTAAAGATTTATTGCTTTTGTATATTATTAAGACCCGGATATACAAGTGTTCAATATTATCTGCATATAACAGATTCCTGTTTTTCCTAATTTCAAAAAATTATAGCTAGTCAATTGAATTTTATATACCCGTTATTAAACAACAATTATTATACAGCATTTGAACACGGAGGTCTGTCTATTTCGACTTATTTAGGTAGTGATACCACAAGCTTACGAACTCCGATGTTATGGTTACTACACAATCCCGCCATGACATCATGATAATGATAAATTAAGTAAATCACCTTTTATGTTTGTGAAATAAAAATTATAACTAATGTTTTCTGTGCTTCCTATAGTCCTGTTTGATCGTAAGTTAGACGGTACCGTAGTATTTCCACTCACAATTGTGTAGTCGCAATTACTTGCACGAAAGTGAAATTCAAAAAGAGGAGAAAAGAAAAAACTGTTTTAAGTATCCATGAAGGAACATGGTTTATCATTTTTTTCATGGTTGGAGTACGTCACAAGCTAATCAGTAGACATAACATCATTATTATGTAAGCGGGCATGACTATGATTACCAGGATAAATTGAAAAAAAAATATATATGACGAGTATTTCAGTGGCAGATTCAAAGGGACCCAGCCGGCCCACCCTCTCTATTTTTTTTTTAATTTAAAAGTGGAGAAAAATGAAAATTGTATTCAAATTTAAGTCTGAGAGTGCCATTTCCGGCCAACTAGAGATGCCATAATCATAAATTGTCTATACTTCATCTGTAAAAGTCCCTCCCTGACCTCCTCCACTCCACCCCTCTATTTCGAATTTCTGTAAATTTTGAAAATGTAGTGTGGAAATAAATTTTAATTGCATTCCTTAAGATAATTCGTCCGCCCTCCCCACCCACTTTTCACAACGGATCGACGCCCTTGGTTCAAAGTAATCGTTGTAATTATGAGTTATTATACCAACATTACTATGAACGCCCTCTCGAGTACAGTCTCAAACGCTTGTCAAGTCAACTTTTTGCAATTTATGACATCAATCAATCAATCAAATGAAAAAGAATATAGCACACTGTGGTTGAACTTAAAGTGTCTGGGTCGAAGTTGATGCGATCCACACTCAATCTATGTAGTAAAACTGACAGTAGTTGTCATTAAAATCCTCAACGATTCTTTCCTGAAATATACGGTATCCTATTCAAGTGACAGTCCCACGTGTCCATATCATCACCATTTTAGTGGGCCCGCATTAAGTCTTGAATACCTAAATATGGAAAGACGTGCTGTACACCGTCTTCCCCCTTCCCGCCCTGTTTTATGATCGCCTTATTATATACGGTAGTAGGTAGGCCTACTGTATCTGACAATGCCATGAGTAGGTCTCTCTGGATTCCACTTTAAGTACTTGCACACAAGAACAATCGAGATAGGCGAGTCACGTCAAAGTTCAGCAATCTAGGGCCTACACTAACCCACTGTCGCTGAGAATTCTTATAGGCCCAAGATAATGTTATTCGCCAAATCAGATCTAAAAAAAAACGATTACAACAACAATAATGATAATAATATTTATATTTTATTTAATATTTTATTAACATAAACACTCTTTCTTTAGCCTCAAAAATAGAATAATTAAAAAATCAGCTCCCCTGATAACCACGATTCGCAATGTTGTCTTTTCATGCGATGTTTTCGAAACATTCATCAACATCTAATCTAATCATATTTATTTATATAGCGCATTTCTTTGCAGATACGAAGCGCTTCTGTCCCTGGTCATTGCATCCACATGCTAAGTGTTGCTGCCCATTTATACTCCTGGGTGGAGAGAAGCAATGCAGATATAGTGCCTTGCTCAAGGACACAAGCGAAATGCACAGCGAGGGATTGAAACCCCGACCTCGAGGTTGGGAAACCAAACCTTTCACGCTGCGCCAAACCGCTTCCACAACATTGCGTAATACTCTTAAATAACGTCGGTCTATTATATTATTATTCCTTCCCATCGTATTTCCTGTCTGCACCCATTATTTGCGATGCTACTGTATATTTTGTATAACAAGTCGAGGTGTCTCACATTACAAAAGGGCGGGGAGTTTGTAAAATATATATTAAAACCGAGACATCCGTGGAATTGAACTGATTGACTACAAAATATAAGCTATGTTTTAGGGCCTATACTGTACATCTTGATTATTTATATTAGAAAACAGTATAGGCCTTCGAAAACATCATAAGCCCAGTCTGAATATGAGTCGTCTTCAAAAATGTCTTTCTAATCTGAAATGCTGGAATACATCAGCAAGGATTTATCCCCAGGACCCGGGATTAGTGGTCGAATACATAACAACCCAACACAAATCTCTTAAGACCCTGGCTGACACATCAAATCAGTGTTATTTTAGATGGTCACATTATGGGATACTCTGCAATATAATTTCCATTAGATGATGCTTAGGGAGGATGGCGACAAAGCGCTCTTTGTTGTCATGGAAACAATCTTGGTATTGACTCAGCAGCACATGAAATAATAGTTAAATAATGAGCTAATAAGCTCCTCGGGTCAACAGTCAGCGATTAGTTAATACTTTAAGCATAGACGAATTCCTTTTTAAACGAGGCACATATTGTGTCGGCTGACGAGTCCATCTCCGCTGTCTGTGAGAGATTGACGAAACGATGCCATTTGATTGTCGTTGGCAGAGTTCTTAGCGTTCTTTGTTGAAACGATCCGCCGCGCGCACCTCATCGCATGGTATCACGTAGATGACGGTTGCCGGCGGACGCAGGGGGCACGGTACCGGCTTAATGAGCAGGACTCATTTATGATGAAGATAATAATGATGACTATTTTGTGGTTAATAATTGATGAGGGTGATAATGATGATAGGATTAATGTATACTATATTGTAACTTTTCTTAATAATTTTATTGAAATTGTAAGGCCATATGAGTGATGTTTTGCAATACCTGACGTGTTATCGTACCGAATACTTAGTAGGCCTACGTCCCCAAATACTAGCGAAGAAAATCGCATATTGAGTAATAATGATATATTATATAGGACTCAATAGTATATATCATAATAATGATGATGAAGAAAAATGTGGTGTAAAAGCTATTAAATTTAAATACGTAAACATTTTTGTGGGCTTGATTATGGCGCCGACGCGGGGGAGGGGGAGTGGTGTTTAATGAGGGGTGATTTCCTTTCTGACAGGCCTAGCCCCAGGTATCGCCCGATGCCACGACGAGGTCGTGAGACCCAAAATATTAATTTGCCTATCCAAATTCCTAAAATGTTGGTTTATGGTACATTTATGGTACAATTATTTTGAGCCATACTAAGCCATAAAAACTCTCTTCAAACAATACCCCTTTTACACTGCAAGCAAAATTCCGGACGTAACCCGGGATTTTCGATTACCCGGGTGAAAATCTCCCGAGTTCTGGTTAGTGTAAACGTCAAAAAGTCCTACTCGAGTTACCAAATCTTCCGGGATGGACGTGCGGGACACATTCAGCGTAGGGCAGCCCGGGTACAACCCGGAGTCGCCAGTGTAAACAGCACCGAATTTGATTCCGGAATTAGGCCTTACCTGGTGCCTACCGCAGCTGTGGTCAGGTAGGCCTAAACTTTGCTAACAACGGGCTAGGCCTAGACATTTGTCAAATTAAACCCTCTACGCTCCGGTATAGACATGATATTAAAACTGCTGATTTAATTCGCATAATTTAAAAACAATATGCAGGTACATTGCTTCGATATTGACAATTTTATTGTGCCATCGCAACAAAAACTGAGGGCGGTATTTGAACCCGGGTTTGTTGCCAGTGTAAATGGGAGCAACTCGGGATCAACCCGGACTTTTTCGTTCGATGTAAACGGGAAATGCACCCGGGATTACTCCGAAAGTAACCCGGGTCGATTCTGCCTTTGGCAGTGTAAAAGGGGTACAAGAGTCTAAGCGACCAATGGGTTTGGACCCACTCACCCCCCACCCCCTGTCCGCAAATTGTTGGGCCACCATTGAACGACAGTAAAGGGTAAGTAACTATTTACGTTCCTGTCAATTTCACATTCATAGCAATACTTTAAATGAATAAAAACATTAATATGTTTCCTCTAACCCTGATTAAAAAATATCGGGTCTTTATAGCAGTATGTTGTTTTCCATTAAGTTTTATAGTGTGGTACAGTAGTTCAATAATTAAATATATATTTTATTATGTACAGCATTGTTTTGAATTGGTATTTGTACAATAAAAATGTTAAAAAATTACATTTTCATATCCATAGCATATGTAAAAGTGACTAAAAACATAAATACGTTTATTTCCCTACCCCTATCGTAATTAGTCCAAATACGGTTTTTTAGGCCAATTTCTAAGTGCTATAAAAAAAAATTGTCCAAGCCCTAGCAATTTTCTTCTGAGACACTATGGTATACTGAATTCCTGTATTTTTTCCAGCTAATTTTCCACTGCACTCAGGCTATGTCTGCATAGTATCACGACGATGACCGTTGGCGGCGGACGCAGAGGGTACCGGCTTAATGAGCTGGATTCATTTATTTTTGGTTTATGAATTAATTATTTATTTTATGTATGTATTTTTTCCAATAGGACCGTGTCACTAAACGCAGCAATATCGTTAATACTATAGACCTATTGCGATCTAAATACTTTTATCTCCACGATGTACCGTAAACAATAGTGACATGATGGTGGGTAAACATTGATTGATTAATGTGGTACATAATAATATCATTAGTGTAAATTTTAAAAATGTGTTAGTGTAGTAACAATGGGCTACCGGCAACGAGTTTTAAAAACTATATCATCATAGAAGAAATAAATACCACTTTTTTTTAGCTTAGCATGATATTATTGAAGGCAAAATCACAAATATTGCGATGTAAATGCATATAGCGATCTAAATGCTTTGATCTCCATGATGTAAGCTTTAGTGGACAAGGTATAGACATGGTGGGTAAACATTGATTACGGCATAAAGTTGTACATAATTTACACATTAGTGTAAATATTATTTAAAAAAAAAGTGTTAGTGTAGTAACAATTAGCCACCAGCAACGAGTTAAAAAAAATCAATCATACATAGAAAGAATAAATATATGATGTTATAAAAGGCTAAATCACAAATATTAAACTATTAAATATCAAAACTTTACTGTATTAATATTATTAATATGAGTGATGTTTTTTCACTACCAGACGTGTTATCGTACCGAATACTCAGCATGTTTCCAAATCAAAGTTGGAATCGAACCCACGACCTCCATATAACTAGCCTGGTTTCTCAACCACCAGACCATCGAAATGCTCATTGTTGGCAGGCCTACTTATGAAGGAGGGCCACTACATTTTTAAATTATGTTTATATGTGTTAATATTTTTATTGTTACTAATAATCAATCAATTTATTGAGTAACCGATTAGTCAATCAATCCATTTTTATTGTCAGTTACTAATAACCAACCAATTTATTGAGTAACCGATTAGTCAACCAATCAATCAATCAATCAATCCATCCATACAGACACTACTTCTTTGAAATTCATTTATTTTCACTTGATACTTTATGTATTATAATTAGTAATGGACGATTCTCAGAAATGGTATATTCCGATGCTTTTAATTGTCTTCCCTGATTGCGCTAGACCTTCGAATAAAAGTCCTTGTTTGTATAGTGCCGATAAAAAGAATCGTGAATCCACTTCACGGATATGTGAATGCATTCATTCTATTTACCTTTCATTGAGTCGGTTGCTACCTAGTAACGACGAGTCACAGTATCACGACGAGCTGTCGAGTTTTCTAGGCCGATCGATTATTTTCCTGTTATAGCATATAAAGAAAGGGATAACCAAAGGCTTACTTTAGGCCTATATTTATTTACCGGTTAAATACTGAAACATTAGCAGCTTGCGAAGTCAAGTACTATGTATCTCCATGGTACTACATAGCGACGAGTCCAACGCTCTGCGTCAGAATCACATTGAATCGGTTTGGAGTATACCGGTACTGCATAACAAGGACGATAGACGACATATTTATATATATATGTATATTTATAAAGAGTTATGTTTAGTAAAACGGTAAGTCAATTAAGGTAACGGTAGAATGTTTAGATTTGTCATGGGGGCCCATAAAACATTAAACAGTAAGATTACCCACTTACAAAATGTACGTAAATTGATGTAAATTTAACAAGTTCATGGTTTAAATATTACATAACGGTACAGATCAGATCACAACCTGTGAAACCATGAAAGATCTCTCTTAAAAACAAGAATTGTAATCTATCTATGTGAACTGAAATGAAGCAGTTAGTGTGAGCCCGATGAAAGGTAAGGGTATTGAGTATAGGCCTATTATAATAAATAGATCTAAGCCTAAAGTAATTACTAAATAAGTTGATATTATTCAATGTGTAGGCCTATATAAATACTTACGCCTATTAAATACTTAGTCTATGATAATTAGGCTTTCAATAATGTATCATTACTTAATGAATTATGTTTTATAGAAGGAAGTGTGTATACTTTATCTCATAAAGTATTTCTCTCTTTGCATTCAGGACAATTATAACTAGCGGAATTTTCAAATCAATAACTATGCTTTGATGAAATCTGGAAACCCCCGTAAGTAAAACAACAATAAAATGAATAGTGATTTAAGGTGTTTAAAAGTATAATATAGTTTCAATGACAAATTGATTTGTAGGCCTTCTACTATGAACATCCTTAGATAAATCGATCACAAACCAAGATGGGTCTACCATATGTAAAAACAACAGGCCTATTTTGTTCTCATTCTAATTTAAGTTAAAATCTTGGGCCCGCTAAAAATACACAAAGCAAGCGATAGAATTTCAATTATAAAGTTGTTTAGCTAAACTCGGATATCCTTATAATAATAAATTGTTCATACTTGACCTACGGCACATACACGTTCAGATAATGTAAGTTCATAATAATTAATCTTAGTCTAGGTGTAATTTTACCCTACCTGACGTGGAAATGTATCGAATACTCAGTACATTTGAAATTTGAAATATGATGCCAGGCTAGTGATCTGGAGATCGTAGGTTCGAGTCCCACCCGAGAACAACTTGCGATTTTTTTCGCAGTTGTTTTCAAATGTACTGAGTAGGCCTATTCGGTACGGTACATTTCCACGTCAGGTAGGGCAAAATTACACCTATACATGTTTCTCCTGACGCAAATCCAGTTATTGTCCATTATTCCAACACGACAATAACAATTACTAATCTTAGTCTATTATTATTATTATTATTATTATTAGTGTGTATTAATCAATCAAGTAACATCTTAGTAATCAATCAAAATAACATCTTAGTGTATTATTATCTTAGTATATTTTTCCAACTTCAATAACACTTTTCTACTCATAAAATATCATGAGCACTTTCAATATAGTCTTATACTACTCGCTATTTGCAATCGAATCCACGTTAGGCCTATGTTAATCAGTAACCTAATGTTATGACCATCATCAAATATTAACTTAACTAAACTAGATAATGAAAATTCCATTTGTATAGACTAACAATACACTAGTACATTCATCATGCTTATTCAGGCCTAATCGGGGAGAGGATCCAGGCCAAATAGAAATTTAATTTTAATAGGCCTATTTAATTTTACTTTCACTATAGTAGTCTTACAATCATCGAGTTGCCCGTGACACAGATGGTGTGTGTCTACTTAACTGTATTGAGAGCTCCAACATTTGCCGACAGGCAGTCCAAGCCCGAAAGAGGGGTCCGAACTAAGGGGCCGACTAGAGCTTCAGTTTGGTCCCGCAATAAAACTCCTGGTTGGATTCACGAGGGAGAGATCTTATCGTTTAGGGTGCTTTTAGAACACAATATTAGGATTTGACAATCACAATAACTTCATCTAGATTGGCAAATTAATATTCTCTTATTACGACGACCCCGTTGTGTGGTGACAATGACGAGGGCCATCCTTGTCCTTCGGGGGTAAGGGATATATCCCAACCCCCGTTGGTGCCGAGAAAGTTACGGAGTAGATATGCCTACGTGTCTAAGCATTCTATCTGTCTGCTCATGAATTCAAGCCTTGGACCGACAACTGTAGAAAAATATACATTTACGCTCACAATGTCAACCAAAAATCTCTAATCGACTAAATATAAAAAATATATGAATACATTAGAAATTCGCGACAAAGAAGTATATAATAGCCTAAATCAAACGATTGGACTTGACTTGGTTCCTCCGCACCTGTTCTTACATCGATAATGATTTCCATCAGTATTATTGTTAACATCTAATGTAATTAAATCGTAGATTCACTTTATTTGTAAAGAAAATGGAAGGAAATTAATGGGAAATGTGCTCTGATAGCGCTCGCTCATTTACGAATGACGACATAATCAGTGTATAGTCTGCATTAAAATTGTTGAATGTGCTATCCTGTCCTTTTTTTTAATTGGCAGTGTGTATCCTTTGGTACTGTATACTAAGTGGGTTCCTTCATTATACGATTACATTAATTACTGATTAAAATTAATAGTCTTAGAGACAAGAAACGGATGTTACAGCCTATTAATCAATACTGAAATACACTCTGAGGCACATTCCTTTCGTTGTGAATCTCAACATAATTAGATCAGAGTGTGAGCGCATTTCAAGTTTCAGATTTTTTTTTTTCAATTTAAACTTTAGCACTGTGACAGTGTTGGTAAAGCCGGGCACTTAATGCGCTCGACGGTCGTCGACCGACTCGATTTTATGAAGAACGAACACCACGACGCGCACTCAACGGACAGTTTTTAATGACAATCCGTTAAGAGCAACCGACAATCAGCAGACGGCGTCGCGTCGTCCAGCGCTCACAGGGAGCGGAAGTGGATTCGTCGTGCGACCGTACGACGAAGTTAGTGCCCGGCTTCTTGGATGCCACAAAAAGATAGCGTAAACGTATTTAAACGTTGTTTGGGACACACGTGTATTGGTGGGACAAGCGCGTATTCTTAGATAAGTTGTGATTGGTCAGTTGCTACGCTCGACTGACACTCAGGAAAGGTCCATTGCGATGTACGCTCGTGATATACGTAGGTTTACTATGCATAGGCATATATGCTTACATGCGTGATATGTGATATCGCGTAATTTTCTGAGTAGTAGTTCTGAGTATAATACTGTACTTCGGTAGTTCATGCATTGGAATATGCTTGTGTACCGTATCTATTTTCGTCATGTTATTTACATAGGCTTTCTTCACCCTTTATATGCTCACTTTGAGTACGCTGCCGAGAAATTCAATACCAAACCAACATTTAACTATATGATTTTATAGGCCTAATCATGTCAATCATCCTTACCAAAAGGAGCGCAACTCTAATGGAAATTTGCAGAATGCATTGTGGGATATGATTCGATAACAAATTAATATAGGCATTATACAGTACTTGAATGTGAAAATATGTGTGAACAAAGAATTTTATATAAGGTAATAAGTCACCGTCACCCTTCTTGCTCCAGGCCACAGTAGGCTACTTTTTATAGCTTTGAATCAGTTTTGATCCTACTGCACTCTGTGTAAAACTCATTGGGTTTTTTTTTTGCAGCTGGTCTGTCTATAGTAATATAGTAACTGTTTGACCTTTTATTCTTTTTCTTCCAGCATTAATCCACGACATTCCGCCACTTGCTGCTGGTAACCAAGGCAATTGAACGCACCTTAAGCCGGCGATAATAATACACCGATCATTCTATTATAAGACATGATGTTGACTGTGCTTCTTTATATTCTGTAGTGAGAACTCGTGAAAATAACAAAATGCTGCGTATTTTTGTAGCAAATGAAGGCAACCGGTGCGCACTGGACGTAGCCACCACTGATAATGTCGGCAAAGTGAAAGACAGAGTACAAGACGTGTTCCAGATCGATACGAGAAGTAGCGGAGAAAAGAAATTTGTTGTGTTGTCTTATCATGGATCGGAGCTACAAGATAACTGGGAATTCGGCGACATCGGTATCATGGCGGGGGCGACGCTACGATGTAGCCTGAAAGAGGAGGTAACTCCGAAACTCTACGTGAACACGTCGTATAATGACGAAACCGTTGAGGTCACGCAGGAAATCAAGTTTCATTCTGCTAGTGTGCGTGATTTGCGGTCGATTATTTCGTTCGAAACGGGTTTACCGGTTACGACGTTTAGGTTATTGACAGTTGATGGAGTCGAAATGTTCGACCCGATCAAGATCGACGATTACGGCATCGAACTCGGCAGTCGCGTGACCTTAAATACCTGGGATGGCTGGAATGAATTTCTGAAAGCATGTATGATCGGACATACGTCACAGGTTATTCATCACATGTCACAAGATGAAATGATTGTTAGATATCAGAGTCGAGTGGCGTTATTTATCGCAGCACATCACGGGCACATGGACCTTGCGACGGCAATGTTGCGGAACGGCGTGCGGTCTGACGAAGCGGTGGGCGACCATCCGTCAAGAGAATGGTGCTCGAGTAGTCATGTGGAGGCATACAGTACGCCCGTTCACGAAGCTGTTGTGACTGGACAACTCAGTATTCTTCGTATATTCGTTTACCATAACATATGCTGTGTGACTTGTAAAGATGGAAATGGACTCACGCCACTCAATATCGCACTTAGACGGCAAAAACGCGACGTAGCCGTATACCTACTGACAAAGCAATGGTCAAATGTCCAATTTAATAGTATGACCCTTCCGTTGACTATATATTCACATATAAGGAAATGGTGCGACCGGGCTAAGGAACGTGTTATGCTTATACACGGACCCGGCAGATCAAGTATGCGATTTCGTCGAACGAAACAAGGCGGTGCACTTTGCGGCCAAGGGGTCCAAGTTGACGGTTTCACTGAAAGTGGATTAAATTCTCATTCGAAAGGACGTAGCTACGAACAAATGAAAAACAAAAGCTTGGTGCTTGTTCGAAAATACATGAGCCACGACGACCCTGAAACAGAGGTGACCCCGGTGACAAAACTACCCCGAATACAGGCTGTAAAAACGCCATCATTGGTGACATTTTATCGACGGAAAGCTCTGGAGAAAAAAAATACACGCCAAAGTACCGAGGATTTAAACCGACACATAAGTAGGAGATTCAACGAGAAAAATATTCGCGGTAACTTGCCAAAAATTGTAGAAAGAAACTCGTCACAGAATGAACTCAACAAAGACGAAACAAGCCGGTCGTCCTATGTGCATACTCCAGGCACAGGACGAAAACGAACAAAGCTTGAAGTTCTTCCTAAATTAGAACAATCGTCAAATCCGTCATTTTCAAAATCATTTGCCGAAAAGGAGAAAGAGAGAAAAACACGGAAAAAAGACGCCAACATGGAAAGCCTGATACCTTTACCGATTATGAGTACCGATACGGCACCGGAAAGACCGTTTTACTTTTGTCGCTCGCATAGGGACAACATTCCACGTCTGACAGTCGATCTTTACGAGGACGTGACGGGAACCACGACGTGGGAGCGAGCGATTGAATCTCTAACGATCGCTTCAACATTCACAGAAAAGCCATGGCTTCACCAGGTCCGTTTAGCAATGAGTCTTTCTAAACAGCACGTTAAGAAATTAGGGAAAGGTTCCAAGGTACGAAGGAAGCGGGATAGAGCATATAGGCCCATATCGACATCACACACTTCAGAAAGCACGAACTCCCAGAAAGATATTGGGGAAAATAAAGAGAGAGATTATGAAACACAATTGATAACGAATAACGAAATGACTGTTGATGTACTGTCTTAAAGCGACATCTAGAAAAAAATTAAATGTAAACTTCTACCGTACACAAAAATGACTACCGTTAACTCAAAGTAGGGTTATCTTGTTTAAATTTGCGACCTACGCTCTTCAATTCGTCAAAATGTTTGTTAAACACCTACATCGAAGAGGGGATGGGGGGGGGGGGGGGGGGGGGGGATGACGAAAATTCATGACCTTTATGGCTTTTGTGACCCATTTTCAAAGGTTATATCTTTTCAACAATGTTGCTAACAAAAACTTTCAATTTAAACAATGGTAAATGTTATCTGTTTTGAAACCCGGAATTAAAAATAAGTCAGATTTGTTTCTGCGGAAAATTTGAAATTTTATTTTAGTAGCGTCTACGTGCACAAATGATTGGATTTAATATTTGCAATAACATCGCTCTTTTGTCATATACTAATTATGCATATACGGGATTAAATATGAAAGCAGTATTTTTACGATTCTAAATTTTAGCTGATGACGGACTTCTATACTACATGACAATGACATAAAGTAAGGTTGTTGGGAACAAGCCTATGAACATGTAACGTCTTTCCCATAATATGACTTTTCAATTGAATGAATTAAACGAAACGGAAGTGTGTCGGCTTTCCGGAAGTTTGGCGCAGCGGTTCATAGGTTCGGACTTTCAATCGTAAGGTCGGGGTTTTGCGTCTCTGCTGTGCAGATTCGCTTGTGTCCTTGGGAAAGGCACTTCAGCTACATTGCTTCAGTCCACCCAGCTGTATCAATGGGTACCAGCAAGCTGCTGGGGACTAACCTGCGATGGACTAGTGTCCCGCCCAGGGGGAGTACAACTCTAATCCGGATTTAGTTAGTTTTTTAGAAGTGTGTCGGCGTATACAATACGTTTCTAAACTTATTCCTCCATGTTCACACTACTCCTCTCTCCAGGTGTGTGGCAGTGCGCCTTAAATCGCAGCAGAACAGTGAGATGTTTCTTCTGCAGATAGTTTTTTATATTTTACTCATTTCCGGGTTGTCATTTGGACTTCGAAGAATTAATTTATGGATGTATCAAATTGCACCCTGATTACGAAATAGTGCTATACAAATTCCGCAATGTATATGCCTACGTATATATTAAGGAAGGTATACTCTTGAATATAGATATATTGTCTTTGAAAACAAAATCGAATAGAACATTCAATCAAAACATCGAACTGCAAAATTCAAAGGATCAAACATGAATAAAAGCGCCCTGAGGCTTAAATGTGTACAGAGCTATATCAATGCTGACTTACTTATTAATTTAATGATGATTATTTAATTGGTTTATAGTTTTTTGCAGATTAACACATTTTCTTTAAACTAAAATTCCTCTTTAATAAAATGTTATTGTTCAAGTTTATTAACTCAGCATTACGTTTCGTTTAGTTCATTTATTCGAACAAATAAATACAGAAAAATGGTCGTGGGCACCAAATGAATCACTATAGCTCTTTCAAGCCAGCTGCCCCCTTAAAAAATACATTTTGATAAATATAGAATATGTTTACAAAAGCAATCACAAAAGAAAGTAATAAAGTTTCTCTTTTTTCTTATATTTTAAGTTATTTTTACTAATCAACAGATCACTTACATCATACGTTCATTAAGCGTATTTTTAAATTACACTTAAAAAAAATGTTTTAAGGCCTATTATGTATACATCGTTTCTGTATTTAACATTAAAGTCGGAGGTATGTCCTGGTCCAGACCCTTTAACCTCGCTATTGGATAGGCTTATACGGTAAGACTTCTGCGAATAGATACCTTGTCCGAAGCCTTGTAGTAGCCTCTACCATAATGTACAGTAGGCGGGATAGTAGCCATGCGAGTTTAATTAACCATTCAAACCACACGTTCCATGCAAATTAAAAACTTACGACATGCAAGAAATCAATGCACAAATACTTGAAACAGTCCAAATTATACTGAAAAAAGTAACGATTGAAAAAATTATAATTCGATCATTTTAACTAACAGGAACCGGGCGCTTGGAAGCTTGATTCAAATGGAATTTTAATGAGGTAACATTGGCGAGACAGAGGCCAAGGTGAGAAGCTCTGGCCATGCCTCAAGCCCGTGATGAAAATTGCCCACAATCAGAATGTGATTACTCGACACAGGCCTAGCTTTAAATATAATCCCACCAAAATAACAAGTTTATGAACTTACGTTCGAATTTGCTGAACATTAGTTAACCGGTCATTCGGAAATATTTCGACGCTTTATGCACACTTCCTCATTAATGGAATACGTAGCAACAGCAAATGACAAATTAATGTACTGTAAGTTATATACAGTACCAGTACCTCCTTCGCTGAAGCTTAGATAATTATCTCAGTTTTCACCGTTCCCTGGTTATTATGCAGTCAAAAGTAGTTAGTTGGTAAACCGCAAAATAGGAAGTGATTTCGAGATCCGATTGGAGAAGTTCACGACGAATGGTCTTCGAACGTGTTAGGCCCAGCACAAAGTAGACACAGCTATGAAAAATAGTTTTGACCAATAAGATAACCGGATACGAGCGTAGGCCTAAAAATATAATTCTTCATGTTATGTTTACATAGACTAAGCATTGATCTTTTCATATGGTAAATCACCGCATTACATTTTAAGTAGAAATTTAAGGTTAATAACAACCTTGAATTGTCGTCATATAAATGCAGTTGATAATAATATTTAAGTTTCGCATATATCAATTGGGCCAATAGGGGTTTCACGATACATTATACCATATACAAACTGTACTATCGTACTAACAGGCCAGCTGCGTGTAACAAAACCATGGAGACATGGAAATATGTTTTGGCCTAAATCCCACGATCCTTTCAACTAAATAAACCTGTAGCTCACTTTCGAAAAGAATGCAAGGAAGTAGAAATGTTTTGACAAAACACGGTTTGATGATTTAAATGGTAGTCAAATAATAAATAAAATTCTGAATAATAAAATGTTCGTGATAAGAAGGCCTATTGACCTATCTCAATTTGTAAGCCACCTTATCGTACATAACACGCGAAATATTATTAGTAGGTCTAAAACAGTCTAATAATATTAATAATAAAATATTAACAATAATAAAATGATTAAAAAAAAAAAAATTGGGATCGGCGGGGCCCTTGAATCCGCCACTGAAATACTCATCATAAAAGTTTTAAAAATTATCCTTTTAGTCATAGTTATGCCCGCTTATATATTTCCTGTCTCTTATACACATCTAGATGTGTATAAGAGACAGATATATATATATATAATATATAAAAGTAAATTTAAAGTTGCTGTATGATTTTATATAAAATAAGAAGTCAAAGTTCTGTATCTGTCTCAAAATAAAATATTTATTGTACTAGTACTTTCGACCATATCTTATTTTAAGACAGATATAGAACTTTGTTTGACTTCTTATATATATCATTCAATTAAATGTTGATTGTAGGCCTATGATTCGTTTGATCAGATATTTAAAGTCATGATGATGAAGATGTAATGATCAAGATTGTGATGAAGATGATGATGAAAATAATGAGATGATGATGATGATGGTAACAACGATGTTTCAATTTGCGGCTAGATGACATTGGATTCAATGTAACGTCTCAATGGATCTGTTTATCCTTCTTCGAGTTTTATCCCATCGATCATATTGCGATCACAAGTACCCCACACAAAGCTTATATTGCTGAATCTTATCAGTGCTATCGACTTGATGTCTTAATTTAGACGGTGATCCAACACTCTATGCACTACAAATTAATGACGATCGATCGTTGAGAAATCCTTTTAAGTACGGTATTAGCTAGCGGGGAGGTTGCACAGCTCAGCAAATAGGTTTCCCTGAGGAGACGCAAGGTTTCATTTGAAGCGAGCCACGGACCCCACGCCTTTGGTAGGCCCTACAAAATTTTATCGTGGAGCTATAATATTGTATCTGGGAGATAGATTTTACACAGGTGGGTTGGGGGGGGGGGAATGGAATCGGATATGAAAAAGAGAAAAATCACATTCCCTTATTTAGTCTATTGTTTTTAAATATTTCCTGTTACTGTGTAGGCCTAAGCCAAATTTGATAAATCACAACGCATGCATTTTCATGAATCTGCGATTTCCGTTAATGCTCATTCGTACGAAATTCACAACATGCGTTACTATAGGGTTGTCAAAAGGGGCAAGGGTAACGAGAGCCTAGCATGTCAGATGGGCGGTACAGTGGAAGAGCTTCAGGCCACTGGAGCTGATGCACATAGTTTGTAAACGGCGAATTTCATAATCATTTTATGTTATTTTATGCAAGGGTGGCTTTGGTTTATCAGAGGAAATTGGTGTGAAAAGGGGTTCGGTCAAACCATAGGTACCTCTGCGTACAGGCCTGAACAATGACGTTAACAATGCTATTTCAAAACCAACATTTTAGATCAATACTTTTTTAATGACGTTATTCAATATAAATTTCATTCTTCATATACAGTTAACATTTACACGTTATAATTCATGATGCTAAAAAGCTGAATATAGGGCCTACTAGAGTATACGCCATGTTAATCATGAATACAAATGTACCTATCATTCATTCGATTACCTTAATAATTATCACACACATACATATATCAGAGATACATCTCCCTGTATATATATATATTTGTAGCATGGGCACGGTTTAAGTTGCATGGTTGTTATTAGGCCCATTATAACATTATATTAACAATAATAGTAGTAATAATAGCTTAAGTAAATGTTTATAACACTGTTATGCATCATGATTTAACAGAGTATTAGAGTACAACATAAATTACGTATATGGTCCATGATCACATTTTTTCTATTGCTGCACCACTGTTTTGGAATGGACAGTCAAACATCTCCAGCAGATTTTAAAATACAGCTAACATTTTTTCAAGCCATTATTAGCAGTAACAGTAGGTGCTTTGCAACACCCTGAGACAAGTGTACGGCACGATACAAACAAAATAATTACTTTACTATCATTATTATTATTATTATTATTATTATTATTATTATTATTATTATTATTATTATTTAATCTTTAATAATTCTCATTCATATAGCAATTATTATTTGTATTCATAAAGCCTTGTATCCATACAATCGCTACAGGCTATCGCCGTCTCCTTTGGCGACTCTGATTGGTCAGTTGAATCAGGGAGCGTTCCCGAGTGCGTCAGGGACTGCATGCTAAGCAGTGCAACGATTGCAGTGTAGCGATTTTAAGGAAAGCAGACTTAATGCTCATTGACCCACATGAACACTCGCATTTCAACATAAACATTTTTAACCTAAGCATTGACTTCTATCAAATGTTTAATTTACATCATTTTCAGTGTTAAGCTAACATTACTGAGAATATAACAAGCACATTGGTAGGGGCCTACTGTACCAACTTATTAATAAAGATAAACTGTCCCAGGCATATCTGAAAAACTGAAAATAGAAACATTGAATTTCTAATTTCAAATGATCAAGTAAGTTATAATCTTCGAAATAAGAAAGATTAAAACAAAAAAAAAACAAAAATAAAACACCTGTTTTCACGTACAGGTCTCACGATATTACAGGGCCTTCCAATTAAAGATGTTTTGTCAGATGCTAAATAACAAAAAAATCATAAAAATATTTTTTGAAATTACTTGCCCATTTTGAAGTAACTTAAAAGTTATCAACTTGAACATAGAAATTAATGTATTTAAAAAATGTCTATCCATCAGTTTACAGCGAGAAATGATAGAAACACTTCCAGTCATTGGAAGTGTTTATTACTTGTATTATAATTTTTTTGGTTTAAAAATCAGGGTACATATTTTTTAAATTCAATAATTTTTATGCACAAGTTTATAATTTGTATGCTATTGCAATATGAGCAAGTTTATTTCAAAATTATTTTTTATGATTTTTTGACATTAGCAAGGGACAATACATCTTTAAAGACCACTTTTCTGTGGTCCCTAAACAGATGTCTTTTATCTTTATTATTCTAATTAGAGACCAAGACCATGGAAACCCTGGTCCCAAAAGTGGTCTTTAATTGGAGGGAGACTTGTACTTTGTACATGCATGTAAGCTCAGGTTACATGTATTTACATAAGACCTTAGCAACAATATCCAAGGGGCGGAGCTTAGGAGACCAGTCCATTATACAATTACAATACATTTTCAAGTTTTCATTTTATCCCAAAACAGACAGCGTTTCTTTAAAAATGAGTATCAACACAAGATTAGGAATACAAAATCACGGTTGTCTGGAATTGGGTTAACCCTTACAAGACACAAATACTGGAATATAAAAATCTTATTTAAATACTATTTAAATTGATCTCTAGCACACTTATGATACAACAATTTGTTGAACTTAAATACAGGTACCACAAATGATTAAATAAGCGCTGCAGGGCTTAAAAAACGATTTTTTTAGGATTAAGTGCAGCATCAATTTGAGAGGTGCTAATACATGAGCAAAACTAACACTTGTTTTCCATGTTTAGTGATCTCCCAATAAACATATTTATTCCCGGAAATTTGTTGGGACGCATAGCATTAATCACGGTGGGTTACAAAAAAAAGCTGAAGGGGGTTCCGGGGGGTTGGGGTCCCCATCCATGATAAGCTCCTGCATTATTGCTTTTTATAGGAGGCATATCAGATCAAATTCGAAGGTCTGTATTTTGAAATTGAGATATTTTTATATTTGAATTTTGGTTTGCAAATAATGCAGGCAAACCTATCTTTGGGAGAACAATGGAAATTATTTGGGAGAAACACCTATTCTAGAGAGGTGCTTATTTGAACATTTACGGTACAATTTTCTCACAGAATACAAATCCATTGATATATTGTTGACTTTGCATAGATTATTTACATTATAAGCTATGAATTAACGTAAAAGTTACTAACTGTAACTGCAAAAAAATTTATATGATTTACAAAATGTATGGGTCACTGTAAACACTCGTTATGTATATATTAAGCCCTGTCAAGTCTATCGAAATTTGATTTGACAAAAAGCATGTGACATGCCTAAATATAGTCATGATGACATCACATAATAGGCCATATACGGGCACACCATGACTATATATGGGCATACAACATACGGCAGAGCTTATGAATGTTAAAGATAACATGCCTCATGAAAACTACAAAACATTGGAAAATTTATCTAAGGTTTTAATTACTCATTTGTAAATTTGGTTTCAATTCCACAAACATCAGTAGCATACTTTTCTGATAATGTAATGTTTTCTGAAAATTTTTTTTTTTACAACAGAGTATTGCATTGACAGTAACTGAATTGAAGTTTTAAGAAACTACAAAACTACAAAGCACAATTCAAGAACAATTTTGGGAATGTTAACTTTGGATTTAAATGCAAACTCAAAGAATGTTTACTTTTATTCAAATCATTCCCAGTAAGTAATTCAACCAAAAATATTTTTTTTAAATATTCACTGAAGAGTATCTTTGTACAGAAATAATAGAATGTTAAAAAAAAAAAAAAAAAAAAAAAAAAACCAATTAAACACATCAGGGTAAATATTTGTTTGGAGTTTTGCTTATTTCCAAATATCTTTTGAAACAATATCTGTTGAAAGAAAACAATTACACAAAAAGAATCCAATCAGTATTTTCAGAGCTAAGTTTTCTTTTGTACAGTTTATCCAATCATGCTACTCTAATATGCTTTATTATGATCATGTGAAAAAAAAACAATTTCTAAAAAAAAAAAAAAAAAAAAATTGGTATGCACTATACAAAATAGCATTATTCTTTCATGTATTTGGTACAAACTAAATAAAATTTTTACTAGACAAAAAACAAAAATAATAATATCAACAAAAAAATATTGTTTTGAGTTTTGCCATATAAACAAACCCCACTATAATATATAATAATACAACTAAATAAATGATGAATAACATTCCTATAAAATCAACACTGAAAAAACATTCCTATGAAAAAAAAATTAAATATTTTGTTAATGATTGTCATTAGGTCCTTGTTTAAAAAAATAAAATATTCATAGAATATTTCTGTGACCTTTATGTACAAAATAAATTTTGTCATCAAATTGAAAACAACAACAAAGCAAAAAAATCATCAATTTGAAATTAATAAAATTGCATACAATATGGTACTTGCATGATTGAAGTACAACACATAATTCTTATTAAAATTGTTTTAAAATCATTTCAATTTAAATACTTTGATTGTCTTTTAAAATTGCAGTGTAAAAATATTCACAATTTACCATCTTCTACTTAAATTACTCTGCTTTTAAGTTTTATATGAGAATGAATAACAAAGTTTTTTCAATTGTATAATTATTCAGGTTTTCAGATAGAAAGTATCGTTTTATTTAAATTCCAGTCACAGTAAAATCCAAATTGAAATCATTAGTATTGGAAATTAGTAGCCAACATTACTTTTCCACACATATTTTTTCCACTGTGATTTAAATTTTCATAAACACATGAATAATAATAATTGGATAATGCATTCCAAAATAATAATAAGCATTAGAATAATTGTGAAGTGGTCTACAAGGGTCTTTAAACTAAGTTTACAATTATGAAGTTTCTATACTTTCATTAATTTTTAAAATCAAGTACTGTACTAAGTACTGACGGGAGAAGCTATGCAAATCACTATTAAAGCAAGTCTTATTAAAATTGTGTAGTAACAGTATATCCTGTGAAAAAAAAACACTTTTGAAATTGCAAAATTAAAACCCTAGAATTTTAAAGAGAGCATAAAATTACTATTACAATTTCATACAATCTTTGAGTGAAAAATGATTCTTGGATATCATTAGATCTCTACTATCAATTGAGCTACAACTGGATATATTCCCTTAGAATTTCACATGAGAACGAGTTCTATTTTTATCAAGGCATTGTGTACTGTATACTGTAATTAGTTTGTCATAAATAGTTGCTAATGTACTGAATTTTAATAGCCTGCTTATAAGGAACAATGTTTTATATAATTAAGTGTTAACAAAATACTAAAAATAATAAAATCAGGTTAAATTAATCAAACAAAAGTTATGCTTTGATATGATAAACAATTCACTCAACAATATACTTGATATTTCATTTAAATTGTACATATGAATTCAATTCAAATTCTCATTTAACATAATTCAATAGAAATAACATATACTTCCAATAGAACATCTATTGAAATATTCTAATCATTATAAATAGTACTTGTACATTGTACATTCAATATACAATGAATTTTACCATTCAATAGAACTTGTCTAATTTCAGCCTATTCATTAAATCATATTTATTCATACCCATTCAATAGTACTACTATACACACACACCACAACCACTTCCACTTGATATATAATACAATCATATCCATTCAATAGTATTTCTATTTTCTAAAATAACCCACCCATTCAATAGTACTTTTACAATAATACTATCTAATAGAAATTTCCTAGAAATTATCCATTCAATGTTTTATATAAAATGAGCCAAGCCGTTATTCAACCTACGTATTATTAGAAAATATGCTCATCATCTACATCCAGAATACTACATAACTCCACCCAGAATATACACTTTTTTCAAATCAACTTACTGCTGGAATCTCTGTACACACGTTAGGCGGGTAAGAGCAGAGCATTTGATTTACTTTACAAAGGAATAAATATGGATTAGGTTATTAAATTACACTAGTGCTTTGGTCATTTTGAATCAGGCAATGGAATAGGAAGTTTCTCATGGAAATTAGTATCAACCTAAGCAAAATTAAATGTCCAACTGAAAAAATATGTCCTTTTAGTTACCAATCATTCAATTAATCAATAAGTTCACATCATCCTGCTGCCTTAATTGTTTCCATGGCTAAATATGTTTCTTATACAAAGGTATCTTTTAATTATTTGCACTTGTAAATTTTCAGCCATTAATGGAAAATATTCAATTAAATATTTGAAGTAATATCATTTAAATAAAAAATTGATATTTTAATATAACTTATGTTTCACATTATAAGCTTTAAAATGATGGGCCATTTACTAGAATCAATTTACTATTAAAAAAGTTCTGAGTAGTAAAAGGTGTTACAGGCTCTTTTCTCTACAAAAGTATACAATACTGGCATATTCTTCTAATATTACTCCGTTTAACAATTAGTGACAGTACACTGGTTTTGGGATGACAAGTCTCATCTAATCATTACAGCTTAAAATAATCTACAATGAGTAACATAACAACATCATTGCACTGATTCTTTGATAAGGGACTGCTTTGGTGAAAAGATGGAGAATACCTTGGGAATGGGAAGCGCTGGCCAATAAAAACCAAATGTTTCAATTATCTTGTTTATCCTCTTGATAAGATGCAAATACCTCTATCTACAAGGAAGAAAAATTGATTATGAGAGCATTGAGATTATTATCTTCCACATGCTGCAGTTCATGTTTTCCTCCCTCACCCCCACCCTGCCCCACCCCCTCCCCCCAAAAAATCTAATAAATCTTTAGTAGGCATTTAGTTATTTATTTATATACTTTTCTCTTGTACCAAGGAGCACTAATACTTGTATGCTATTTCAAAAAGCCACTTTTCAAGCTTTAAACTTTAGCCCTGTGGTTACCATATTATACACCGAAAGTGCAAGGGGATAGTGATGGCTTGCACTGAACCATAAAATTTAGCCCAAGCCCATAGCTCAAAACAAAATTGCAGACAGAACCTGAATTCTAAATTTCACTGCTTGGGCAACATTTTTACTTTTATTTCAACTCTTAGTAATTTGAAGAACTCCGAGCTTTTTCAGTATGTGCAACAAAATATTGGATTCCTCTCCCTTAGGATATCAAACATGCAGAATCAATCAACATTTTCAAAAAGTGGTTGAAAACATCTTTCCCATTTGGGAATTTGGCGACATTTAATGTCAATGAGCTAGAACTTGCCTCAGGTATGAAAGTCAATGTACCTTACCCAGTGATGTTTTAACTTTTGTTACTGAATTACACGTGTATGTAATGGAAAGTTTTTAATTGTCAGATAAATAAATCCTTGCATTGGATGGCTTAGAATCAAGGATGAGGATCCAACCAGACAAGCTCCAGCTTGACTTCTACTGCAGGTGGTATGAACTTCATAAATGGTGCTATTGCATTTCTATTTACCTTATTCTTAAGTTCCTGACATGTTTGCAATGCAACGGTGAAGTACATTAGGGTCTCACTCAGCCACGGAACAACACTTTCAACCAAGTACTGGGCGGTGACTTCAAATCGAGCTGCTCCAACTTCACTAGAAAAAAAAAGCCAAAATACACAAAAAAAATTGCAATCAATGAGGGAGAGCTCAAGATTGTTAAATTTTAAAACATTAAAGGGTGAGTTTGTGATGAAGTTTAATGATGTAAATTTGTGAGAGAATTCCAGTAACAGTTCCAAGCTTTACTTTCAACTCTGACAACATATATAATATAAGGGTTATGTACATGTTAATGAATGGATCAACAAAAAACTAAACTCTGATTAAATGCAGGGGTGAAAGGTCAAATGTTAAGGTCACAGAAAAGCAATTTTTCACTATATCATTCATCATTTAGGGACAGCATAGAGGTATGCACTCTATGGAGTGACAGTCCAGTTACAATTGCATCTGAAGGGATTAAACCTTGGATTTTGTGAGCACCTTCACCTTCATGCCACTATCCACTAACATACAATATGGTTTTATTTGCAAGACAAAATTGCACTTACAAAATATTGCTTTGTTTGGGATGTGTCAGTATGGGCTGCGGCCTCTGAAAGACATAAACAAAATTAGAAGATTCCATCAACATATTCATCCAATAACGTTAACTATTTTATCTATGAATAAAGTAGATCATTAGAAATTTATTTTAAAAATATGTAAGCAGTAATGTATCTAATAAAATGAATGATACTAATAAACAATTTTGACGTGTCAACACATTCTCATCAAGCAATAATGCATATCCTACTACCGGTTGATATACTACC